ATCTTGTAACTATTATGCGAAATAATTGTAAAAATTTCGTCACGTCTAACAGAGCATGTCTCGTAAACCCGAGAATATCTATATTATTATCAACAAGTTGCCTCCGAGTGATGTGAAATATGCATGTGGTACTGTTACCTAGTGTTCATGAACTTTCTTTGGAATTTTATGGTACATAACTATGCGGAACCAATAGAAGACCGGCTAAAGCATCATCAGAAACTTGACAGAAACATGGCCAAACATAGATTTTCTTCACTTCCATCTGGAGTTTGTCCCTAAACACTACGGTATGGTTATTGATGTATATAGTGAACGTTTGCACCAAAAAGTCTCAACACTGGAACAAGGCTACCAGGGAACGTTTCGACTGTCGTGATGGTTGATTACTGCTGGACACTTATCGGAGATGCATCCAATAAACTATGTACAATACATGCGAAAGTATCTAGAAAATAGTCTATGAGTTCATACTCGACAGGTTTAAGCTGGTTATATGAAAACTATGGACACGTATTTGACGATGTAGGCAATCGTTCGGGATTACAAAATTGTAGAGCGAATTTTGTCTTTTTACGTTCACATTTCCGTTCAGCACACAAACACTGTAATGAGTTTGTTAGTTGCAATTCAGTACCATTCATACGGTAAAAATTTGCTCTCTGTTTACCCGGTATGTAGGCTTTTTCCATATTGTGCACTGAATCACGCTTAACATATGCCAAATACGAAGAGAAATGTAGTGGAAAGGTATGCTATCTATAAACAAGTGGGTTAGAATAGGTATACACACTTCACTTTCTACCGAAATTATTATCGTCTAAGCGATTATCTTCTTTTCCATCTGTGTGTAGCTCGGCTTTGCCGTTGTGAGTCGTGGGCTACAAAAGTTTAACGGTCCTCTCTCCGTAGCTTACCTACCTCCCAAATTCATTCCGGAAATGGACCACATACTAATTAGAATACACGAATCTGACTTAGATGAGTACGTCATCACCACACCCAAGCAACGAGTAGTGGCCGACTTTTCACCGGTCGGCACAACACTTTATCCAACACACGCATCCCACGATTTACTGCGAAGAACAGAGAAACTTTCCTGCATGTACACCAATGCGCAAGTTCCCTTAAACAAACTTGCCGAAGTGCAGCTATGTCAAGCGTCACATTCCTAGGACAGCATACTTGTCACGGAAACTTGGTTCTACGCAGAAACTACCAAAGCGGAGGTCGCGATACATGGTATGTCCCTTCTCCGAAACGACCGCCCTAACAGGGGGGGTAATGTTATATTACCGCAACGAGCTGTAGTGCGAACCGGCGGACGATCCGGAAATGCTGATCCTAGACTCACTCTGGTGCAGTCTGAGATCAAGACTCAAGACCGTTGTTTATCGTCCCCAATGTCCACCTCACAGATGGACTGCCGCATGGCATTCTCCTTGAAAAGGGTGGTACGAAGACGATACCGCAATATGCTTATTTCCTGCGCCTTCAGTATTCACAATTTGGAAGTTCCGGCATCCTCCAACAGCCAATTCAAGGCAGCTCTGCAAGAGTATATAGCAAGCATATCGCTCTTCAGATATGTCAGTTCGCACACCCGATTCGGAGCCGGAAACAAACCATCTGTGCTCAATTTATTGCTCACGAACGTAGTGTCCATGATGGAGAGCCTTCTGTGGCGCAGCGACCGAGTAACCATAATTTATGACTCCGTGTGTTATGCGGAGCATCCAGGAGAACATAGTAACTTGTTTCGAACACGCACTCAAACGACACACTGGCAGAATTTGTGGGAGATGCCAGCTGAAATTTTGCGGACGACTGTTCTATTAACAGTGCTTGGATGGAGTTTACCGGCACGTTTAGTGATTTGAGTAGATCTGCACTGGTCAACAAGCCCATTCGTTAAGTCAGCTCACATTCATTCGGAACAGAAGCTGAAAACACGTAAACAATAAGAGAGACAGCGTGGCATGTGTATAGAGCAAATCCTAGCTCTGACAACTGCAGTAACTTTGTTGTGTATCGTAAGCCCTGTAGCAATTTTGTGCATGCGGACAAATAAGTACACCAGCAGAGTCTATCGGAAAAGTTTTATGTTAACGAAAAGCTTCGGTACAATACTGTGAACAGCGGATTTTGAACGGTTCTCCGAGCTGAGTGATTATTGTGCAGACGTTTCGTTGCCTGACTAGGCAACATCATCAGTGCGGTCTCAGGGGCCTGGTTCGTAGTGCCTCCTAAGCGACTTCAATGTCCAAGTGCTTATTGATCGAGTCCTGCTTTGAATGCCAGGCTTCGATAAAGTCACACGCTTGCCGGCTTTTAGCCCTTCCGAGGATACTGGCATGCTATATGTCGAATTGGTGGTTCTCAGCACCCATGAGCACTGAAATCAGGGAGTTCTGATCGTGGCGACGTATGGCTAGGCTGTGTTCGTGTAGCCTTGTGCCAAGCGTTCTCCCAGTCTGTCCCACGTAGTACTTGTCGCAGTTCCGGCAGCAGATCTTATAAATCACACCAGTTTCTTCTTCTTTGCTAAGTTTGTCTTTCACCTTGAAGAGTTTACTGCGAAGCCTGGCATTCAAAGCAGAACTCTATCAATAAGCCCTTGGACATTGGAGCCGCTTACGAGGCACTGCGAACCAGGCCCCTGAAACCGCACTGATGATGTTGCCTAGTCAGGCAACGAAACGTCTGCACAATAATCACTCAGCTCGGAGAACCGTTTTAAATCCGCATCCACACCCGGAACTGTGAACAGCCTCCATAATGTGCAATGTAGTTTCCCCAATAATAGAAGCAGGTGAATGTGCTCAAACCGTCGAGCACGCAGCTAACATTCTACGGCCCCAATATGCTCCAATTTTCTGACGTGCTACTAGCATTTGTAACATACCTATCCCAAGTACCCTCAGTTCGGCAACCATTTTGATGAAGCTGCTCTCGTTGCCTACCCATAGTTCCCCCGGAGTTGACAACTTTCCCCCGAAAGCTCTGCAGGTGACAGGTACGAGGATAGCTGAACCATTAAGGAGCTTTTTCTAAATATGCCTGGACGGACAGCAGGTCCCTAACAACAGCAGGCAAGGCACCATTACCCAGGTATTCAGGAGCGCTAGCTGTTCAGAGTCCGCCAATACCACCCAGTGGTACTCCTCCTGGTGCTTACAAAGGTGATGGAATCGATCATAGCTGAAGCTGTAATGGACTGCTTCGAAAGCTTTAAGATCATAGCACCGGAGCAACGCAGATTCCGTCAGCATCGGTCATGTACTACCAATCTACTTATCGCCCGTGGCAGTTGGACCGAGATAGCCAACAGTGGGATCGGCGTTGATGTGATTTACCTAGACTTTTCTAAAGCCTTCGTCCGCATGGTTCACCTCCTCTTTCTATAAAAGCTGCAAGCGTACGGAGTTGTGAACTCTGTCCTTGGATGGCTCGGAAAGTTCCTCCTTCAGCAGCGCCTACAGGTACGAGTACAAGGCTCATTTTCTTATCCAAATAATGTGGACGGAGATGACCGACAACGGTTAGCGTTTGAGCCGCGGTACTTCTTGTTCCTTTTGACGACCTTGCGGGTGTCATCAAGACAAATTTCCCACGTTTTGCAGATGACATCAAGATATGGCGGGCGGTCCGTTGTCAGGATGATCATGAGATGCTGCAACGAGACTTAGACCACGCCTTTGAATAGTCAAAGGCAAACATGCTTCCGTTTAACAGGTACAAGTGCAAAATTGTGCATGCCCGCCACAAACCCACGTACGTATATAAGCTTGGATATGACATGCTGTAAATCGCCTCAAACGAGCGATACCTTAGGGTGGTAATATAAGACGATCTCGGTTATGTGGCGCAGTCCATGAGGGCGTCCAAAATCGTGAACCAACAGGTTGGTCTGTTACGGAGGGCGTTCGGGTGGTTCGATCCCTTCATCTTCCCCCAAATTCCTAATGCATATGTGATGCACCATGTAGAGCGCGCGATCGAGGCTTGGCAACCCTGGTTAAAAAGCGATCTACTGCACTGGTGACCTCCCAGCGAAGGGCAAATACAAATGTGATGGGGTTGTCCCACCTACAATACCATAGGCGACTGAGAGCCCTGGGGAGTGTACAACGGCAGATACCACCGTCTACAAGGTGACCTTATGCTGGCGTTCCATATCTCGAAAAATCCGATAACGCCTGCCGTCACCTCCTGAATCTTAGACGCAACACAGAATTGAGCGGTCATAAATTGAAACTTGCCACTCAATACAGTCGGCTTGAGTGCCACCGGAATTACTTTTCCCTTCGAGTTTATCAACCGTGGAACGCACCTTCAACTTTTGTCATTTCCACGCTCACGCTAGCCATTTTTAAAAGAACGACGCGACGATACTTAACCCCATTTATTTTACTTGACCTGATTTCTATTTATTGACTGACCACAAGACGCAGACAAACATTCTACTCACCAACCCCACGAAATCGGAGTAGACGGATATACCTATGCGTTAATGTGGACATACGGCGAGTCCACAGATTCGTGTTTACCATCTTTTTGCACCTTTTTGTACTAACATTATTCCCATAAACCACCCTACGGGACTTGTTAAGAATGAGCTTTTTATCCGTATTATACCATTGTTCCACTATTTCATTAATGTCGGCGTAGTGTATTGTGTTAGATCAGAAGTACTGCCATCTCCTTATTACAATAGATTTTAACATTTAGGCTCTGAAAACTTCAGCAACGGATAGCAAATAGTTTAAAACTTCTCTGCAAGAACTCATCTGTATCCTCATCTGATGCAATCACGTCACCAACCTTATACGTTCAGAACAGCGAATAAACAGCCGCTGGCAGACCTAGTGCATATCAGCGAGGAACTAATGAAATTAAAACCTTGTATTCCCGAGGTAATATTCCAGGTTATTATCGACATTTGCTATAATCATTCATGACTTATCTTACTGTAAACAATTTTTGATATCCATACACAGATGGCTCGGCCTGTTCTATGGGATCAGGTGTTGCATGCGATCTACTTCCGCCCGCCTGATGTACCGATGCCGCGGACGGTCGAACCCGGCCCTGGAAAACAGCTCGGCGCAATGCTTCGTGTAGAAAATCCCAGGGCGTTTGCACGCTATCAGCCAATAGAAGTGTAGAGGCCATTTCTCTCCCGGTACTGATGCTTACATATGTTCGATTAGGGCCACCGCGACTGTGCAGGTTTATTTATTATGGCCTGCTTCTGATGTTATCATATGTTTGCTCCTGAGCTTTCCATCTGTATTTTCATATTCAACTGTACTAATACCAAGTTGAAAATCAGTAAATGACAAAAGTACTTCGAATCTAGCAATCCATTTTGAACCAAATGCAAATTCTGATATATCTGGTTGGATCCCGCTATGACTATACATCACAACCGGACATGTTTCAGATTTCAAGAAATGGATGTAACAAACTAGCAAAGCATTTTGCCAGTTTGTGTGAAGTGGTGTGGTTACACGCGTTGAGTTACACAAAACTGTAGCAATGGTATCCACCAGAAGTCCAACGTCGTGCATGCATTAAGCCACATTGAGTTTCGATTTAGGAACCGTCTTTCACTTGGCTGATCGGAACAATCAGTGACAATAAACACGTTAAAGTGAACTGAAAGGCATTCAACGTTGTGAATCCTGTTTGGAACTCAACTATTCATGCTCATTTGATAACAGCCTGTTGTTAGTATTTTTGCACTTGATGGTTCACTAGTGAAAGACGTTTTTCAAGCCAACTGGCCTAGCGGATAATTGGTGTAGCCTTTATAGCCATCCGGTTTTCCACGACTGAGATATAGTTAGGACCGAGTGGTCGGCACGTTTGCTTTCCAATCATAAGGTCACCGGTTCGAATCCGCGTTGGGGTGGGCGTCCTTGCGGTATACTCAGCCCGCGCGTGACTGGTAGTGGTCGCGCGGCAGCGAAGCGCCGTTACGGCGTATTAGCTGACACATCATCATCATCATCATCATCAGGAGGGTATTCAGATTTCCGTGGAGTGTCAAACCGAAGTGCAGCTTAATACATGGGACAATGGATGGATCACGGATATAAAAGTAAAAGCCTAAGTTTTTTCATTAAGTAAAGAGTGCAACACAAAGCGGGTGTATCAAAAAAAAGCGTAGCAGTGGACGTGCCGCAAATTTCAAGTGTGTACATTGTTTGGTTACGCTGTTGCATGTCCCAGTAACTTGGGCCACATCATAAAATGCAGGTGGTGCATCATCAAGTCGAGTTTTAAATTCAGACAATATGGGAACCGATATGACAAAATACGGAAGCAGGTTTCCTGAGTTGGATACACGAATGGCATTCCAAGCAACTAAATTGTGTTGCGAACTTCCAATGGGGGGCCTTTTAGTGAGGTGTTGTGGCTAAGTTTCAATAAGCGTCTGCATTTGTGATTAGAATCTATCAGGATCTGATATACAACTATGAGATAGTCTCTCAGAAAATCAGCTTATTTCATAAAATCTCCCAGAGCCTTTAGCTCAACTGTTTTGAATGGGTACCTTACACTATTGTTAGCTAACATCTAGCTATCTCCCACATGTACCAGTTTTGAAGCAGAGGAATTTTACGATTAATATACGGCAACCGTCGTAGAACACATTAATCGTTCAATATGTAGCTTCACCGGATATTTCAACAAATTGATGTGCGTTTTCGTTGCGGTGCATGCTAGCCTTGGAACCTATGTGGGTTAGATTTTACGAGGAATGTGTCTAGTCAGCTCTGTTCCTATCTCGATTCGCTAAGACACTGGTAAAAAAATAACCTGCCCACAAACGGCCATAACCTGGTCAGAATTGCATCCATACACATCCACGCGTCGTAAGCAGGAACACAAGATATTGGGGACATAAAAGCGATTCGCGGGCACGTTAACGGAATCGTTGGTGGTTTGTCGGTTCAAAGTTGAAGCAATTTCGAAAGTATGCTCTCCGTCGTATAAGAGCTAAGACATTGTATAGTCTTCAAGGTACCTTTGCGACAGCAGCCACAATTCTGTTCCTTACCGAGAGTATGAAATATGTGTACAATCTGTCCTCGGCTCCGTTTACACTAGAAAAGACAAAAGTTTTTCATTAGGACTGGGATATCGATTTCCACCGAAGGAGGTGGACAATTTCCCTACACAGATCAATTTTGATTAGCTGTATGGTCATCTCATTGAGCGCTTAACAAGATCAGGGGATGATGCAGGATGATGTCGTGCAAAATTGGTGGATATCACCAACCGGTTCTTGAATGTACCGATTAGTCAGAGATGCTTGAAAAAGAAGCATTATGAGGCAAGCTAGAATCTAAAGGAAGTGAAGCAGTTAGTCTTTTTGCAAACGCATAAGCGAACGAAAGTCGTTATAATGGATAAGACGGGTACATTTCAAGGATGGAATCTATTCTCAGAGACAGACGAAAATTTCAGATAGACAATACAGTGGACAACAAGATAATGGTAAAGAGGAAAGTCGCACGCGACAGCAAATCCTTTTGCTCCATGGCTATAACTCAGAGCCACAATAACGGCAATTGAACCCAACCAGAACAGAGACACTAGAAATGAAAGGCGCACCGAAGTTGCACAAGGTAGGTAATCCGTTACCGCCGATCATGTGCATGAACAACTCCCCATGTCACAGGGTTGTTAGATGGTTGGCAACTCTCCTAGAACCCATTCTATTCTTGATTTTCATAAACGATTGGCGAGGGAAATTACTTCCGATTTCCTACTCTTTGTGGATGATATGAAGTCATGGCGAGCAATCAAAGAACCGAACAACCACGAAAAGCTCCACCGTGACCTCAATACGATTTCAACCTGGTTAGTTTTGAATACCTTACCGTTCAAAGTGGCAACATGTCACGCTGTTCAGTTGCGCCCTAGACATGACACGTGTATAGACTTGGGTCCCATGTATTGCAAAAAACTTCCCAAGAACGCGATCTTCGTGTGCTCATTCAAAGGGACCTTAACTATTCAAAACAGTCAGCGGCGGCTGCGAAGCGAGCAAACCAGCACGTCGGCTTGCTGCGGAGAGCATTCGAAGGAAGCGACCCATCCATCTTTTGCATGATGCACAATTCTTACTTGCGCCTTCACCTTGAATACGCCATCCAATCCTGACAACCCTGGTTGAAGCGCGACTTAGAAGTACTAGAAAAACACTACTGGAGCACTGCGTTAAGTGGTGTAAGTCAACTCTGGTCCCTCTGTGGGCGCAGCCGTCCTGTGATTGTCTTAATGAGGCCGCAGTGACAAACAACCCCGGAACCGGTTGCCGCCAAACATATATATGCTTAGTTGCATACGCAGACTCTATCCAGCGATTTTTGCTATATATATATGGTAAATAGCTCTAGATATGTTTATGTTTATGCCAGTATCTCAATACAGATAAGATCGTTAAAAATATGTAAAAACATTTTTACACATATTGGTATATAATCATACGTACATCGATTTCGCACAATTAACATACAATACAAAATATAAAGACACATCCGTCAATCTAACCGCAGATATATTTCTAATGTATCGATACATTTTTATTCTTTTCTACGTGGTTGCTGGTAATCTGCATGGTGCATAATACAAGGCGAACAACATTATGTCTGCATGCATTTGCCAAATGAAGTTTCTCGTTACGCAACAACAACAACAACGCACATCATACTCTCTTTGTCCTTCAAACAATCATTTAACTTTTAGCGATGCGTATTTACTAAATAAATAAATATCGACACGATGGTTACCTTAGAAATTAAGCTGTATCCGCAAATATTCTTCTCAAAGTATGCTGAATAAAACAGCTAGGTTAGGCCTCACATTAATAACACAGTATGGTTCCTGTAATGAATATCCAGTGAAACTTATGGGTGCAGTACATAGACTAGTTAAATATAAGGTTTGTATTAATACCATGACATAAGAATAATGAAGGGAAAAAACAACAGGGATAAAATTAATGTTTTACCTATGTATCACATATACATGCAAAGCTACATTGACCGGATATTCATGCTGACCTGACAAGTGCTTATTCAGCCCATATACCAGTCACAGGTGTGACATTATTGCCGACACTTAAAAAGACTTCAGTGGTGATCACAATTGCCGGTATGATCAGTGCATAGCAAAGTATTATAGGGTACCACAAGAGAAGCGTCATCATTACCAATGAAAGTTTACCCATTTTTGGGTTCAATAGCGAAAATGTCTAGTGCCTATTAAGCCTACAACTGTGCCACAGGAACATTAGAATGGCTTTTAGCAAAACCTTTGTTCTGGGCTCCACGCTCCTCCAGGAACGGTGTTTATGTAGCCCATATATATCCCAATACACTTTTATGTTTAGTAAAGCCTCAACTCTTTGCTGCACACGTCTACAATACCTGTCACTAGTAATCTTGCATTTGTCCCATAGCATTGCTTTCAGTATCGGCATTAGCGGAGCTGAAATCGTTGGCTGCAGGAGCCTTCAGGTTCGATTTTTATTGGGCCGTTATTGGCATCATTGTTGCCAGTAAGAAAACTACTACGATTGGCTCCACAAATCTCCATTAGCGGTGTAGCGTTAGCCAATGTAAGTCCCTAGGCAGCTGCATCAATATCGCTACTAGCGAATGTGCAACAATTGACTTCATTCGGCTTCATGTGTATAGTACCGCATGACGGTTATATGTACAGCGTCAAGCACCCGAGGAAGTTTCCGTCAATGCAGTTCCAGTAATAAGCTACGAGGCACAAGGTTCCTTTAGCTGTGCACGGATAGAAGGTTTTTCACCATTGTTACGACTTACCCAGAGCATGAAATGGTTATTATCATGGATGGAAGCAATTATCTGGAGGCCCGAACAATTGCACATACTTCTAACCTGGAGCTCTTCAGCTGTCATTTAACGTCAACATGTATACGAGGAACATTTATTTAACTTTGGAAGTAGGTTCTCCTGCCGACGCAATGTCATTCACAACTAGACAAAACCTGCTTCATTGCTAACATTCACTAAGGTTAGAATAATTGTGCTGGGCCATTTTCCGCAACTGGATAATTTGTATTTGCTTACCACCAACCTGAAGCTACTCACTACTTGTTGACGGTTCAACTGGCCGTGGATGCATATGTTTCTAATCAACTTTACAACCATAAAAGGAAGGCGCCTTATTTGTTGTTCGGGACAAATTATGCTTTGCTTCAGGTCCTGAGCAATTAAGTTTGACATTCTTCAGCGCTGCAACGAAACTGCAACAAACTATTTCATTGGATCTCCTTCTGTGACTGTACATG